ATCCAACACATCCATCATCCATCCAACACCATCCATTATCCATCCATTATCCATCCACCATCCATCCATCATCCATCCATCATCCATCCATTATCCATCCATCATTCATCTATCATCCATCTATCCATCATCATTCATCATACATCTATCATACATTCACCCATCCATCATCCATCGACCATCCATAATCCATCCATCATCCATCATTCATCCATCCATCATCCATTGACCATCCATCATCCATCATCCATCTATCCATCATCATGCATCATACATCCATCCATCCATCATCTTGTTCTGAACTCAGGTCTCAGGACAGCATCTTGAGCAGGTTGGTCCAGACATCTCTCTCCATAGCCACCTCTTCCAGCTCTTCTGGGAGGACCCTAAGGTGTTCCCAGTCCAACCAACAGACATACCGTAGTCTCTCCAGCATGTCCTGGGTCTTCTCTGGGGTCTCCTCTTAGTCAGACATGCCTGAAGCACCTCCCTAGGGAGTCACCCAGGGAGCATCCTTACCAGATGTTTGAACCACCTCAACTGGCTCCTTTGGATGTGGAGGAGCAGCGGTTCTACTCTGAGTCTCTCCTGATAACTGAACTTCTCATCTAACAAAGTTAAGTCAGGCCTTCTGGACAGATTATTCTTTGTTGAAATATTTCGTCTTTTATCCAAAAGACTTCTTCAGTCTGAAACCCTGCAAGAAAAGTCTGTCTTAGAAATAGCTCCTTGTCATAGTGAACCAACCAGTTTGCTGCTGACAGCCAGTACTAGCTGTTCACATGCAAAAGGACGACCATCAGCCTAACGATAGATCGTTAGAGCCACAACAATTGGTTATCAGTGCCCTGATGGCCGCTTGCTATTCTCAGAGGCTGAGTGATGCTTTCATTTCATTGTAAAGACCCTCGCTCCTGTTTAAAGATGGACGGGATCGTTTCACAAAGATGACATCCTGAACTTCTCACCCTATCTCTAAGGGAGAGCTATCCTGTGGAGGAAACTCATTTCAACTGCCTGTATCTGTGATCTCATTCTTTTGGTCACTGGGGTTTGATGTCCTTCACCTACATTTTCATGTTTGCTTGTGAATCTGTGAACTAGTCACTGCTTTAGCCTGGGGAACCATCTTCCACGTTTGGAGAAGAACTTCCAAACAGTTTTTCTCAAATTATTGTCCTTTTTGATGCAAGTCTTCCATGAAGTCTAGCTCTGAGCAGCTTCTAAAGGTCCTGTGGACAGATCCTTCATCGAGGTGGTCGTTGTCCTCCTGGATGTGTCTCTGATTAAAGTGCGTTAATGTGGGTTTTGGTGGATGACCCTTTGGTTCGCTGTCGTGAAGTCATCTTTTTGAGTTCTGTGAGACATTCAAGGTTCTGGAAGATTTTTTTTATCAAACCAGCCCTGATCTGACTCCACAACTTTGTTTCTGAGCTATGTGGAGAGTTCTTGGTCTTCATGATGTCACCTGCTTGTAAGTATCTCCTGGTATTTAGAGGTATTGGTTCTATCAGAACAAATGGATCCAGGCTGAGATCCTGTGACACTTGGCTCACAGATGGAAAGGATTTCATGAACCTTCATGTGCCCAGGCAGGTCCAAAGGACCTGAGGTGTTCTCTGATAGACCTGAGCTAATGATCTGTGGCACCAGAAGACAACTGCACTGACTTAGCATGTGCAGCACGCAGGACATGAGACTTACCTCCATGACAGCCTTGGTGTGGTCACCCAGACACGGCAGGTCCTGGGTTGTCCTCAGATCCTGCACCGCCCCAGGAAGACTCTTCAGGACTGACGCAGCTCTCCTGAAAGCCAAACACGGCCCCTCGACCTCACTGAACTCATAATTCTCTGCCAGCACTTCAAAGGCATCCTGAGGGGAGAGAGGGACAGAGACAGGTGGAGGACAAAGACAGGTAGAGGACAAAGACAGATGGAGGACAGAGACAGGTGGATTATGGCAGCAGATTTTCTTCTTGTACAACATGACGAGAACAGTAAATCTTTCAAAAGAGGGAATTATGGGATGAAAAACCAGATGGAGGTGTGGTCTGTCTGTTTTTCTTTCTCTATCTCTGTCCCTGTCTCTGTCCCTGTCTCTGTCCCTCTGCAGGACTTTCTGCATGTTGCTTTTCTTGTGGACGATTGGGCAGAGACGTGCACCAGACAGCAACCTTTTTGTTTCCATGTGTTTGTAGCAGGACCTTTCTCTCTTTTTAGAGACAGGGTCCAAACCAGCTGCATCTCTGACCCAGAACCAGGACTTTATTTGATCCAGAATCAGGCCTTTAACAGACCTAGAAACAGGACTTTATTGGAGTCAAACCTTTGGATCCAAGAAATCTCACCACAAACATGTTTCTCAAAAGGCTAAAAGTAGCAAAAAGCTAAAGTTAGAAGGCAAAAAGTAGCA